GACCGCTGGGCGGACAGAACCTCATTCTGGGTTCTGTCAGCTACCGAACTCATACAAAAACTTGGGGATTTCTATACCCATTATACTATAACCTTTTAATAGAGAACCATGGCAATAAACAACAAGTTTAAATGGTTAAAACCTCATTATCAAAAAAAAAAATCCCAAACCCTAAACAATATGATTTTAAAAGTTCTTAAATAGTAAAAATAAGTTTAGCTCTCCTAAAAACATTTCAGATCAAAATCTCATTTATTAAACATCATTAGTGAACCTTTTAAGACTGAAAAATATGATTCTTGCACCTCATGCCATAAGGCCTACTTTATCTACAAAAATACGATTTTGGGCTCAATAAAAACCGGATAAAAACTCAAATCTAAGCATAAAAACGAAATGGGAAAGGCTAAAGATTTCCTTGCCGAAATTGAGAAGCGTTTTGCGAAAAACGATAAGGTAGAAACAAGCACGCTTTTAGCTCGCTTGATTTCAATGAAGTATAAGGGCAAAGGAAATATCAGGGAGTACATTATGGAAATGTCTCATATTGCTTCAAAGCTTAAGGCACTTAAACTCGATCTTTGTGACGAGTTATTAGTGCATCTGGTTTTGTTGTCTCTTCCTGCACAGTTTAACCAATTTAAGGTCAGTTATAACTGTCAAAAGGAGAAATGGACTCTAAATGAGCTCATTTCATACTGTGTGCAAGAAGAAGACAGGTTGAAGCAAGATAAGACAGAAAGTGCTCATTTGGCCTATGCCTCTAAGGATAAGGGCAAGAAAAGGAAGAATGATAAGGAAGCTGCTAAGGGTCCAGTTGAGAAGAAACAACATAAGGATAATCAGGGTTGTTTCTTCTGTAAGAAGCCTGGACATGTAAAGAAGGACTGTACAAAATATCACGCCTGGCGTGATAATAAGGGTACGTTCCTTGCTTTGGTCTGTTCTGAGGTTAATTTAGCTTCAGTACCTAGAAACACTTGGTGGTTAGACTCTGGTGCTACTACTCACATAAGTGTTTCTATGCAGGGTTGCCTGAGCTACCGAAAGCCAAGTGATGTTGAAAGACACATCTTTGTGGGCGACGGACAATCGGTAGATGTGGAAGCAATTGGGCACTTTAGGTTGTTGTTAGGAACTGGTTATTATTTGGATTTAAAAGATACTTTTGTAGTACCGTCTTTTAGACGGAATTTGGTTTCTGTTTCTGTATTGGACAAATCAGGTTATTCTTGTTCATTTGGAAACAGTCAATTCAGTTTATCTTTTAATTCAAATGTTGTGGGAACCGGTTACTTGAGTATTTATGACAACCTATATTTGCTTGATACAATTGCTTCTTACAATGAATCCTTGCATGTGGAATCACGTGGTACTAAGCGTAAATTAAATAAGGAAAATTCGGCGACATTATGGCATAAGCGCTTAGGTCATATCTCAAAAGGTAGAGTTGAGCGTCTTGTGTCTGATGGCATTTTGGATTCCCTTGATTTTTCGGACTTCGACGTATGTGTTGAATGTATCAAGGGAAAACAGACCAAAGTGAAAAGATTAGGTGCCAACAGATCTTCGGATGTCTTAGAATTGATACATACGGATATTTGTGGGCCATTCCCTACGGAATCCTGGAATGGTCAACAATATTTTATATCATTCATAGACGATTACTCACGTTATGGGTACATATATCTCATTCATGAGAAATCTGAGTCTCTGGACATGTTCAAAGTTTTTAAAGCTGAAGTTGAGAATCAACTCAACAAAAGAATTAAAACAGTTAGATCTGATCGTGGTGGTGAGTACTACGACAGATATGATGGTTCAGGTGAACAACGTTCAGGACCATTTGCTAGATACCTAGAAGAATGCGGTATTGTCCCACAGTACACCATGCCGGGTTCACCTAGTATGAATGGTGTAGCTGAAAAACGAAACATGACTCTTAAGGATATGGTAAGAAGTATGATTGCTCATTCTTCTTTACCAGAGTCTCTCTGGGGAGAAGCACTTAAGACAGCAGCTTACATTCTGAATAGAGTACCAAGTAAAGCAGTTGCTAAAACACCTTATGAGCTTTGGACTGGTCGAAAGCCCAGTTTAAAGCATTTACATATTTGGGGATGTCCAGCTGAGGCAAGGTCTTATAGGCCAAATGAAAAGAAATTGGACTCCAAAACAGTTAGCAGCTACTTTATTAGGTATTCTGAACGCTCTAGGGGCTATAAGTTTTATGATCCCACACTAAGGAATATTTTTGAGACGAGAACAACAACATTCTTTGAGGATGTTGAGTTTGGGGGGAGAAATAATGTTAGAAACATTAGTTTTGAGGAGGAATTGGCTTCAGATCCAATCCATACAGTTACTTTTGACAATATTCAGGTTCCTATACCTGTTGTTGCTCAAGAATTAAATCCGGAATCTCAAGATGATAATGTTGAACAACTCCATGTTCCAGAAGAACAAACTCAACAACCTCAAGAACCAGTGCCATTAAGGAGATCCACGAGAGAAAGGAGAAATGCTATTCCGGATGATTATATTGTTTTTCTCCAAGAACATGAGGAAAGTAGTGGAATGTTGAAAGACGATCCAATCAACTTCTCTCAGGCTATGAAAAGTTCTAACTCTCAACAGTGAATTGATGCCATGAATGAAGAGTACAAGTCTATGCAAGACAATAAGGTTTGGGAACTTGTCCTGTTACCAGAAGGTGCAAAACCAATTGGTTGTAAATGGATTTTTAAAACCAAGCGGGATGCAAATGGTAATGTGAAGAGGTATAAGGCACGTCTTGTGGCTAAAGGCTATACTCAAAAGGAAGGCATTGATTATACAGAGACTTTCTCTCCGGTTTCATCGAAAGACTCTTTCAGAATAATCATGGCACTTGTTGCTCATTATGATCTTGAGTTACATCAGATGGATGTTAAGACTGCATTTCTCAATGGCGACATTGATGAGATGATTTATATGGTGCAACCAGAAAACTTTGTGTCAGGAGACCCGAAAAATATGGTTTACAAATTAAGGAAATCCATCTATGGACTCAAACAAGCTCCTCGTCAATGGTATTACAAGTTTCAACAAATAATTATCTCGTTTGGTTTTGAGATGAACATTGTTGATGACTGTGTATATCACAAGTTCAGTGGGAGTAAGTATATTTTTCTGGTTCTGTATGTTGATGACATATTGCTTACCACTAATGATATAGGCATGTTGCACGAAACCAAGAGATTTCTATCAAAAAAAAAATTGAGATGAAAGATCTTGGGGACGCCTCTTTTATATTAGGAATCCAGATATATCAAGATCGCTCTCGGGGTATTCTTGGATTATCACAAAAGAGCTATATCGATAAGGTACTTAAAAGGTTTGACATGCAAGACTGCAGACCAGGAGATACCCCTGTTGCTAAAGGACACAAGTTTAGTCTAAATCAGTGCCCTAAAGGCAACCTTGAAATTCAGGAAATGCAGAAGATTCCTTATGCTTTGGCTGTAGGAAGTTTAATGTATGCTCAGGTATGTACGCGTCCAGATATTGCGTACATTGTTGGGATGTTAGGCAGATACTTAAGCAATCCTGGCATGGATCATTGGATAGCAGTCAAAAGGGTTATGAGGTATCTTCAGAAAACAAAAGATTATATGCTCACATATAGAAAATCAGAACAGTTGGAGGTCATTGGGTATTCGGACTCTGATTTTGCTAGATGCCAAGATAGCAGGAAGTCTACATCAGGCTACATTTATATGTTAGCAGGAGGAGCTATATCATGGAAAAGTGTAAAACAGACACTCGTAGCTTCCTCCACTATGGCAGCAGAGTTTGTAGCTTGCTATGAGGCATCAAATCATGGAATATGGTTGCGAAATTTTGTCACTGGACTGCGCATTTTGGAAAATATTGAAAGACCACTGAGGTTATTTTGTGACAATAAATCTGCAGTTATGTATTCCAATAACAACATGAGCTCAACTAAATCAAAACATATTGACATTAAGTTCCTGGTTGTAAAAGAAAGGGTACAGAGTGGACAGATATCTATAGAGCACATTGGGACAAACTCCATGATAGCAGATCCTCTTACTAAAGGATTACCATCCAAGGTCTTTCATGAGCATACTACTCATATGGGTGTGGTGTTATTCAAGGATATCCTGATTTAGTGGGAGTTTATAATTTTCTGGTGCTTTGTGTTTGGTTGTATTGTCTGATCAGAATAAAGTATTCAGTTAAGATACTCTGTTATATTATGTTTGGTTTTGACCTCACTAAAGGAGGACCAGTTGAAAATAGACATGTATTGATCACATTGCATGTAATTTTCATGTTGCGCATCCATGATTGATCTATGTCGTTTGATTGTATTGGTATACGTGACCATTGATGGGTCGAGTCACTAAAGTGATCAATCAATTTGGGTTAATAGGTATTTAAATAAATCATGGGGGTTATATGTGCAGATACCAGGTTGTAATTATAATTTGATGAGGGGCCAAATTACAAATGTACAACACCTATATATAAGGGGTTATGGTCCCTAATCTAGGGTTAACCACTCTCATTCTCTTATCCCCATCTAAAGAGATCCATAAGAGAGAAACCCTAAGGTTAGAAGATCATCAAAACCCTAATCAAGTTTTCTTCAATGGATTCAGGTATATGCTTCCGCACCTTTTGATTCTTGTTAATCTCTTTGAATTAAATTATGGCTTTATGGTTTAGATCTCAAGTTTTTATTAGATCTAACACTCTGCGCGTAACAGAAGCTGATGCATTTTGCCGTTGTGTGTCGGGGATTAAGCAGGCGATCCTCTGCGAAAAACTGACTGACGTGGCCGATTGCGAGCCACTCCGCTATACTCCGGAAGCTCATCACAATGACTCAACTACCCTCATTCTGGAAGAGCCAACGGGCATTTTATGGTCCAAGATCAGGGGTATGATGGGCTTTTTTCACATCCCCTTCTTCTCAAAAGCCCGCCTTTAGTTTGGTCCGCAACAGTTTTATCCGGTGAGATCATCAACGGGAATGCAGCTCTTCTCCTCTTCCAAATCGCAGTTCACTCTCTTCTCTCTTCACTCTCCAAACCCTCCCCCTACCCCTAACAACCTCCCAAGATCTCTCTCCAAAGTCCCCATCAAATCTCTCCTCCTCAAATCCCCTCCCTCTTCTTCATCATCATCCAAGAACTCGTCTGCTCAAATTATACAAGAAACGGTCGACGAAGAGAAGAGTTCTGATGGATTTCTTTCTGTTCGTCGGCCGGTGAAGGAGATCTCGGGGGATGATGAATTTGTTGATGAAGGGGAAGGGGGCGATAAATTGGGATCTTCTTCTTCTTCGAAGATTGAAGATAAGCTCAATGAGATGGCGAAGAAGATGCCTATGTTTGAACCAGAGAGGCTTGTTGAGGTCTCAGCCGAGGAGAAACCGTTGGGGATCAACTTGGAGCTTGCTTTGTATAGAGCTAAGGTCTTGACTAGAAACTTCCAGTTCAAAGAAGCTGAAAAGGTTCTTAAAAAGGTATCTTTTTTTTCTTCCTCCGTCTTTATTGACGAGGATTTTGAGTTAAAAAGAGAATCATAATTTTCAGTTTTAGAAGAATTTTGAGTGGATTGTTACAAAGCAGGATTTGTTAGGATCTGAGGTGCAAGGGGGTGAGTAGGGTTGCGTAACTATTTTAGCAAGTTAAAAATGTTATCACGGATATGCAATGGGAGAGATCTTATGCAATGCGAGAGATTTTTATAGTGGTTTGGAATGAATTGCTACCTCCTCTCTCCCTTCTTTCGAAAGGGCTTCCACACTACTTGATACTGTTCATAAGGATTACAAACTCTAATCCAGTAGGCTTTGCAAGACCGCACACTAGATAACATTAATCTAGCAGTCTACACACAAACAACCTATCAAAAGCATGTACCCTAGCTCCTACTAGTAATCCTTACCCTCAATTATCACCGGCTTGAGTACACCGTACAAAACTGATTACACAATTGTGAGAAGAGGTTTTGAAATACAAATCAAATGTTATTTAAGTGCAATTAAAAAGATCTAACAACCCTTTTAGTATGAGATCGTTCTCCTTAAAGATATAAGTGTTGCTTAGGAAGAATGACGTCGAAGGTGAGATTCAAGGGCGACATTCCTTGACATTTGGCGATTAGATGTTGAAGATCGCGACGAGGAATGGTTGAAAGACTCTGGGGAGATGAAAATCTGATCATCTGAGAACGAATCAAGCCTTAGTTCCTTCTCTCCCTTTTCTATCTCACTTAGATTGGGAACATCAATGAGAATCCCTATACTCGGCTGCAACAAACGACTGAAATTGAATCTTGAAATCTGAGAATCAGCGGACAGTCGTCAATGATCAAGTTCAATCATCGATGATCACTTGACCATCGATGATTACACTTCGTCATTGATGGTTGGGAGACCTTTGGATATTTTTATCATTGATAATGCATGGATCATCAATAAAAAAAATTCTTTTTGTAACGTTGAATCATCGATGACCAAAAGCTCTTATCGATGATCAACTGGATCATCGATGATCCAAAGTAGTCATCAAGTTGATCATCGATGATCCAAAGTAGTCATCGATGGTTACTTTCTGTAACTCCTCCTTGAGCTGAAATTGATCTTGTTTCTTCTCAAACTCAGTTCTTACTCGAACTCAGTTCTAACTTGTTCAACCTGCATTAAATCATCTCAAACACAAATTAGATTCAAATGAATGTTTGTTATTACTCAAACAAAAGAAATTGTACGGACAATGTCCTAACAGGATAATGAGTTATTAAACTGATGCAAGTGTTTCTATTTGCAGTGTAAAGTTCTCCTCACAATTTTAGTCCAAAAAAATGAAAAATAAGATAAAATAAAAAAAAGTGATATTGGCGATGCATTTACTACGAAAATGACAAAGAGATGCACAAAGTCCTTAATATGTTTACTCTTTATACAGTGTATCTTATTTTGGCCTGAAGATGGGAGGCCATACGTGGCCCTTGGGAAGCTCTTAAATAAGCAGTCAAAGTTTTCAGAGGCTCGGTCAGTGTATGAAAGGGGTTGCCAAGCAACACAAGGAGAGAATTCCTATATTTGGCAGGTTGGTGGACATTTTCTTTAAGTTGAAATTCTCCCAGTTATATTTCCGGAAAATTTATATCAAAACTTACCTTTTAGAGTATGATGAAATAGTCAAGAAGTAGGGATTTAGATAATGATATGCACTTCTCATAAATATAATTTCTGAAAAGTTTTCTTTTGAGTACTGAAATATGTTGTACTTGTGCTTGTATTTATGTCAAATGCTGAGAAGTTAAGAAGAAATTTGTGATCTTAGAATACGTTAGTGTTTTCCCAAGTAAATTTTGGGGTAAATGTTAGCATGTGACACATCTTGAGTTATTCATTTGGTGTAACTGTTTACTAGTATGTTATTAAGGCTTTGTATTTGGAGCATTTTTATGTACATTGTATATGCATTTCTCACTTATTACTTGCATTTCAATCCTAATCTCTTTTAGGACATTTGGATGATACTTGGAGTTAATACATGTCATTTTCTCAGCTGAGCTAGATTTTCTGCATACTACTTTTAACGATCAAACTATGTTAAACTTTGCTTGTGGTTGTACCTTTGAAAAAAGCAGTGTTGGGCTGTTCTGGAAAATAAGGTCGGGAATGTACGACGGGCAAGAGAACTTTTTGATGCTGCAACTGTGGCTGATAAGAGACATGTCGCAGCTTGGCATGGATGGGCAGTTCTCGAACTCAAACAAGGAAATATAAAGAAGGCTAGAAATCTTCTTGGTAAAGGACTTAAGTATTGTGGTGGAAATGAGTACATATACCAAACTCTTGCTCTACTTGAAGCTAAGGCAAATAGGTTTGAGCAAGCTCGTTACTTGTTTCAGCAAGCTACAACATGTAACCCCAAAAGCTGTGCTAGTTGGCTCGTGAGTCTTGTCTGCTGATTATTATTACTAACAATTTTGTAAAGAGACCAATATCAATTTTAATGGAATATGTCTTCCTGCAGGCATGGGCACAAGTAGAAATGCAGCAAGAAAATAACCATGCAGCTCGGCAGCTTTTTGAGGTGACATTTTTATCTCCAGCTTATCATTTATGGCCTTTATTTTTCTTCCTATTTGTTTCTTCCATTCTTACCTTGTTGGTGACCTATATTCATTACATGGAAAGTCTATACATGCAAGCAATTGACATCCAAATTTTAGTTCATATTCCAATCATTATGAAATTATTTTCATCCAATCAATGCCATATATCAAAGTTTCATGAACAGTTCAAGTACATCATTCATGTGAAGGTTTTCAGAAGGGCTGCAGGGTACATCAGAATGGTGTTTTGATGTCTTCACTTAATGCATGGATCCACTTATCTTTTGTTTACTTGGTCACATCCCTCAGTTAACAAGATTATGGGTTCATGCTTAACAACACAACAGTTCTGGATATGAAGTAGCCTTGCTGAATAAGGAAAACTAATACTCGAGAATGCATTACATTATTGTGTTTTTGTCAAAATCTGTAGCACTGAGAAGCAACAAGTGTTCGAGTGGTTATGTAGAGTGTGACTTCTTCCATACAACCCAACAACCCATTGAGGAAAGCTACAAGAAGACTGGTAATTCAGAATCTATCAAACGTGATTGTATTTTAATCTATAAATGAGAAAATAACATTTATGATTACACTTGTGATCTATCGACTCTTCAAGGACTGTTTCTCTGTTAAGCCCATTACATGTGGTGTTTTGACGCCTAGTATTGCTTCAAAAGGTTCCCTTAGAAGTATTTGATTCGACAGGGCATTTTAGTTGAAAATAGTGCAAAACTTATCTCCTTGAGATGCTAAGCTTGTGCGATGGATGTGTGACTGTGTATGACCATTACAAGCATGACCTTGTTCTTCAATTTTTTGGTGGCTATAAATTTTCATTTGCTGGTATCATTTGAAAGTGAAGCTCTTGTGAAGATAAAATTTGTGCAAGAGAGATTACAAATAGGATATGGATCAAGAATATCTATTAGGAGAAAAAGGTGAATAAGGGTAACACACATCCTCTTTGTTTCTTTCAGGGGACATATGGTCTAGGAGGAAAAAGATATTTTCGTTCAAAGATGACTAAGAGAGAAAGAGGTGCTATAAGAAAAGAATGAAAATCATGGAGAATAGTGTTATTCTGGATGTTTTGGAGTGGTGAATATAAGGATTTTATCCAACTCTTGTCCTGGTTTGGAATTGATCTTTTCCTAATGTTATTTTGTTGTTTACGTAAAGGGTGTACTGTTGATTTATAAACTGACACTTAATTTTCCTGATTTCTTAATAATTTCCTTTCCATTTCTTAATAAAATGCTATTTGGCGGGGGCTTTTTCTACTTTCCTTGTAGAATGATTCTTCTCTGATGAAATGCTGCAAAAACTATTGCATTTCCATAATCAACTTATTTCTCAGTCCAATGATTGTCCTTACATGCTTGTAATATGTAATTCGTGTGAATTCATGTCTCTAGTTTTAGAATCAAAATTAGCACAACTTCTTAAAATGAATTTTTGCTGAGTGGACCTTTTTTTTAATGCAGTTTGGCTAGTATAATGTTGACCCTTTAAAGGTTTCACTAAATTTGATCATCTTAGGTTTTGTATTACATAATCCATTGTCCTATCACATGATTAGATTCTGAAACTATCATTTTTAATGCAGAAAGCAGTTCAGGCTAGTCCAAAGAACAGGTTTGCCTGGCATGTGTGGGCATTATTTGAAGCCAATCTCGGCTACACTGATAAAGGACGGAAGCTTCTGAAGATTGGACATGCACTGAATCCAAGGGATCCTGTCATTCTTCAGTCACTTGCTTTACTAGAATACAAGCATTCTTCTGCAAACCTTGCTCGAGTATTGTTTAGAAGAGCATCTGAACTAGACCCGAGGCACCAGCCAGTATGGCTTGTAAGAGTACATCACTTTGCATCCTATATCTTTACTTTAATATTCATTCAGTAAGTTCAATTGGTCAGTTAATTATCCAGGCTAGGGGTTTTGTTATTGCTTCTGTGCTAACCATCATATGATACACCTCTAACCTCGCAGATTCCTTGATAGAAAATAGACACAGTGCTTCTAACATATGTATAAGGTCCTTGACAAAAAAGGAGGTCCTGGATTGATTTTAAGCTCGCTGTTGTGAAGTAACGTATACAGAATTGATTCTTTGTACGTCCAATTTGGTGGGAATTTAGGTGAAAATACAATTTAAAATAGTAGGTTTCAGGAGATTTGAGTATTCTAGGCAGTAAAGCTCAGAGTGCGGGATGCAACTTAGCTTTCTGGCTACCCATCTACAGCTGTAGGTGGATCCTTACTTGATCTGTGGAGGAGTGAGGATGAGGAGGAGCACATGAAAATGAAAATCAAGTAACAGCCAGAGAAATGCTACATTGAAATGTGGACATTAACTTGTCCATAGGATGGAGTAAAAGTAGAGAAGGAAGAAAAGAGTGTTTATTTATAATGATAACTAGTGTTAGACCCACGCAACGCTGTGGATATTTTTTTTTCTGGTACATATTTTATGAGAGATAATATTAAAGGCTTTATTTTAATGGGATAATACACCAATTTATAGTTCACAGTTGGAAGAAACATAATTATGATCAATTAAATTTCATTAACATTCGGGATAGAAGGGAAAAAGTCAGTTAAACTCCATCTTCATGAGAGTGGAACAATAATATAGGTATACACCAACTTTGAAACTAAACCCTTCTATGAAAATAGGCAAAAAAAAAAAAGAGACAATTATAGATCTAAAAAATCTTAGCCTAGCCTATTCTCAATTCAAGTACATGTTGAAAATTGAAAATGAATCAATTAAGGAGCTAATAAGTGATAACAAATTTAGCAACATGATTAGAAGTAAATAGCATCTCAATTAAGATATTTACTCTTGTATCTAAATCATCAGAATTTTAAGACGTGTAGACTCAGTGCAGCTACTTGTTTACAAAACTAAAGATAGACACATCAAAAGATGAAGAGCATATGGACTATTCTACTTTCCTTTCCTTGTTTCTTACAGACAGAACTCCTCCATTAGTTCCATTTCTCATTTTTTCTTATTGGTAGTTGAATGTGCCTAGACAAAGATCCTTTCCCTTGCCACATTGCCAGCTAACTCCAAAACCTACCAAATAAAACAAAAATAGAACGAAACTAACATGCATTCAACTTGGAAAGATATATTTTATTATTAACATTCTAACACAATGTTAAATCTAATATTCCATAACATCATTCAGAAATCAAAAAATTAAAAATTAAAAATTAAAAATTAAAAATAAAAATTCCAGAACCAAAAATACCTCGGAATGTTTACATGGTCGTCGGAGAGATAATAAGATAGTTGGGGGATTGAAGACCAACAAATAAGTACAGAGCGGTAATTCTAAGAAACCAAGGTAGAACATGTACTGTCAAAAGATTTGAAGGGATTGCCCGTCTCCTATCCAAAGTTTGAAACTTCCTCCACTTGCTTCGAGCTAAGAACATTGAAGTGGTTTCAATGTTGATAGCTCTGGTTATTTGCATTTCTACAATTGAAATGATATACAAAGAATTTGAAAAGGAAATTTCTTAATTAGAAAGCATTTTTCCAATTAGGTATAATGAAATGAGGTAGGATTTTGATTGAAACAGTTTAATTAGAAAGAATTTAAAAGGATAATCTCTTAATTAGGTTTATTAAAATTAGGGTGGGATATAGGCGATGTGAAAGAGGTTAATTAGGTAGAAAAATAGTTGTTAGGATGGGATTTTTTTTTTAGAAATGAAAATGTAAAATATGGGTTGTAAAATCTAAGAGGTTGACACGTGTCATTCTAGAGTCCAAATGGTCTAAGAAATTGCCAAGTGGCATTTCAGGATATTGCTTTAGTATATTAGATAGATGGAGACTTGCAACATAATAGAGAACAGAAATAAACTTGTAGCACATCTGATTAAGCAAAAGGAAATAATCATAGTAGGACATGTAAAAGCAAATTTTATCAGCATCCATCAAAAGATAAATCTTCGCCACGGAATTGATGATTATAGTCGTGTTCATATTTAATTTCTGCAGTTTGGCGTATTAACCATTCACATACATTTGCAATTAAGTTCGGATTATACATTATAGATATTCATTTACAACTTTGGCTGAGCATACTGGCTTCTATGAGTACAGTGATCAAAGATTTTCTTATGCTAATCTTCTAGAGCTAATTTTATTATGGGATTTTGAAAGGCTTGGGGATGGATGGAATGGAAAGAAGGTAACATGCGCACAGCAAGGGATCTCTACCAGAAGGTCTTGTCGATTGATTCAACAAGTGAATGTGCTGCACGTTGTCTTCAGGTATCCTATTGTGACCTTTGATTATGTGATAGTCCAAAAGGCACATAAATAACCATTGTTTGGGTGTTATTGAGGTATATAAGCATGCAGGTAAAGTTTTTAATTTGCATGGTCATCTATTGCACTGCATAATTTTTTTTTCTTTGGGTTATGTAAGAATTAAAAATAACTTCACACTAGGAAAGAACTTTCTGTTGGCAGCAACTGACTATATTTAGTGGCTTTATGTTCATTTTTTGAGATTTGAGTTTCACATGCAATTTTGTTGTGGTCTTATTTGCAGAGCAAGTGTATATTTGCACTCTGTAGATTATGTCGCTAACAGAAGCTTATTCCTTTTTGAGTGACTATAAATCGAAATTATTAGTTTATCTTTGCAGGTGTTGTTAATATGTTAGAAAATAAGCAATTTTGTTCAGTATTTGGCCTATTCCTCCAGTCAAAACCAATTGGCCATTATTTTCAGTTCCTAGGTTGATCTTATACCCTGCAATAAATATGATCGAACTGATCCATAAGTAGTAAGATTATACAATTACAATGATATTATCATTCATATCCGAAGGATTTAATATCAAAGTACACGCAGTTAGAATACCAAAATATACGATCGGCACAATAAAAGATTGAAGTATGTTACCCATGACCTGTTCGATGTTGGAAAAACTAAGATTGGGTGAGATGGGTTTGCATGTTCCGGGTGTGTCCACATGTATTAAAAGTAACAGGGTTTTGACTGGGAAAAAAATAAAAGTAAAACCGAATAGCCTGGAGAAAGAAGTGAAAGCATGGAGACAAATAAGGAAGAGGAAAGCATGGGAAGGGAGGATTATTACTCCATCATCAATTTGTTGCTGTAAATCACCTCATGAACAATATAGTTTATGATAAAAAATTTCCTTTGAATTTTTGATTAAGAACCTACATGTTATATATGATTAGCTATCTACAAAAAGCAAGGCATTACTGTCAACTTGATGTGCATGGCAATTGTCTATAACTAGATATAAAGTGTACCTTTGCTTCTTCAAGTCATATTATGACCAAGTTATTATTACCATTAAAATAATTTTAACTATGAACAGGAATTATTATCGTTTAGTTAATTATTAGGTTTGCAGCTCCCATTGCTTTGGTTACATGTAAGCATGCACATGCAAACATACATAGTGATTCTACCACAATGTCCCCTTTGTAAATTTGGATAGAGTTTAGTGTTTGACACTCATCTATGATTTTGAACAGCACCCGTATCCATGTCACCAGATCATACTGGAAAATAATAACAAACACCAAGATTTTTTTTTTCTTCAGCATCAAGCCTACATCCTTGGGGAGAATGGCTTAAAAGTTTCCTCTTGGACAAAGAGTGAGATGAGATTTCAAGATTAAGTCTCTTACAATCTTTTCTTTCTGAACTTTCATCTGCCCTCCCTCCCTCCCTCCCTTCCTCCCTGTAGTCTATAGTTGCACAACTTGTTTCCATATGCTTTGTTAATCTGCTGAGCTGTTCTTTCCCCAAATCACGGGTCCACATATTTAAAAACTCACCGGCACTACGACCAAATCCCCTATTGTAAAACGTATCTATGGAATTCTTCTTGAAAGGTTTCCCAGAGAAACTAGAATCCCAAACAAATTTGATCCTAGATTTATCCATCAGTCTACTAGTCCACTGTTCAGTTCAAACTCTGCTCCCATGTCCTTTGTGTAATCTATCCTGTGCAACCAGCGTTTGCAGTTTTTATCCAAGGGGTCTGGTGTCATATTCTGGCAAACTCTAGTTTGGCTCGTAGTCAAACAATTCGATCTTTCTCAGTAGCTCCAGCTCTAAGATGGATCCTGGAATTGTGTATCTCAGCTTTGACATGGGCATCATTAGATCTAATAACTTGCCTTTACTCTGAACCTGTGGTCCAGTACCTACACTTTCTCCAACTTCTGTTAATTCTATTACCTTACCTTTGCTCTGAACTTTTGCTCGCTACATTTACTTCAGTCCGAGCAAACCTTTGGTGTCATCCCTCATCTTTACCCTGAGCATCAGCCTAGTGTTTCATTATCTTGTTTTCCAAGCAAACCTTGGCTGTCATCCCTCATCTTTACCCTGAGCATCAGCCTAGTGTTTCATTATCTTGTTTCAGTCGGGTCTTCATCCATAATGTTTTGCAGTGATCAAATTACAGACAAATTGAATGCCCCTTATTGTCAAACCTTGTACACGCGTGTTTGATGTCACCATTCACTACCTTGTCTGCCCATGTTTAATCTTGTCATTTTTTCATATCATTCATTGGCCTTGATTATCCTAAGTTGCAAATGCCTGTATGCAACTTAAAGGCTAACAGGTCTCAGCATTGCTACAATTCAGGATCCTTGGTAATCTGTATTGTCCTATATGGTCCTTAGCATTGCTGCAAAACAAAGTCTATAATGACTCAGACATTTCATGTGCTTCTGTCATGCCATACCTATTATGATATACTATTTATAGAATCCCTCTACAAAGTTTTCCCAAAATAAAAATATTTCAAACAGATGCAAACCAGGATAACCAGTCAGTCTCTGAGATTGGTTGACCGCCTTATCGATGATCTACTTGTTGTGCGCGTCGCGGACGCGTGACAACCAAACGGGCGTGCTTCGAGAACCAAATCAAACAAACGTCGAGATAAAGGCCAAACAAATCAAAACAACGGCACAAATCCAAACACAATAGTTTTACGTGGTTCGGCAAGTTGCCTACGTCCACGGGGCAAGAATAGGTATTAAAAGGATTCCCTAATTTGATTTGTTTTGTTTAGAATTCCTAAATATGTTTATGATTTAGGATTTCACTAAATAATATGACAATTGGAAGAGAAAATTGGGGAGAAAAACAATTGGGGATATTTGGAGCACAGAAAAGAGTATTTCTGAAGCTATTTGTTTAGGGTTTTGTTTGGAGAGAATAAGATGGCTTGTTGGTGAGATAGTTTATTCTTTCGAGTGATATCTGTAATGCTCCACGTTTGTACTACTATTCTCTATTAGATAGAAACCACCATCCCCTTCA